TGTTTCAACCATTCCAAAAAGCGCTTTCAGTTCGCCTATGCGGGGAGGTCGAACGTCGCGGGCGCAATGAATGAGTTGATCTGTCAGCACTATTTACTTGGCGATGTTTTTTTGGGCTGATAGTTCACTAAATGTAGTATTTCAATCTCATTTATCGTCTTTGATATGATTTAAGCTTATATTCACTCCGATAGTGAAGAAAGTAACACAGATGTATTGAAATGAAAAAATTTCGATTGGCAAATTGTCGGTATTCGACACAGCAAGATAGGACTGAACAGCGGAACTTTGTAACTAACAGAAAATGCCTGTTATAGATTAAAGAGAAAGGCATTTTGACATAAAACGAAGCACTTAAAACAATCCCTTAAAGAAATTTAATAAAGTAAAATAAATATTAAGCTTTTTTTTGTAAATTTGATATCCTTTAGATAAATTTTCTTATTCATAAACTTAGTTTATATTTTTAATTTTATAATGGACATGCCATCTTATCAGATTTAAACTGATGATCTATAATCTGGAAAAATCGGTAATCCAGAATCGCCGAAGTCCCGATGAGTTCAGATTGAAGACTTTTGACTGTATCAACTTTTTTTTGAGTATAGTGGCTTTTATGAATGAAACCTGTTTGGGGTGGCTTGCAATTTACACACCTCTTACCTTACTGTACAGAAGAAAGCATGTGAATTGGGCATGCAATCGTAAATAAGACTGAAGACTTTTGTTGATATCCCTGCTGTTCATAGATAAATTCAGATAAAGTATGCTAAGCATTGCCAAACATTATTTGATATGGAAGAATAAGGTACTCTCTATCATTCCAGTTACATATCTCATGGATTGCTGCAATACAGATATTTGGGTATGCCTTTAAGTGAATGTGTCTATCTCTGTGCTGACACATAGAAGAATTAGTGCTTGAAATTGTCAAGATAAAATTCAGGAAGATGCATTTGGAGATACAGGAATGCTGAAACTGTCAGTTAGTATAAGTAGAGAGCCTATATTTGCTGTAATGGAATAATGATCAGTATTCCCTATATGAGCTGATTGAATTCATAATAAACAATGATAATAATTGCTATTGTTTGCAAGATAGCATAATATTGTTTGCATAATATTTCAGTTTAGTATGTAATCACTTAAAAAGTGACCACGTTATATTGAAATATTTTTCCCACTTAATTTTATTTGAAACATACATGCACCTGTGAAATATTACCATTCTGAGTGAATAGAATACTCAACGAATCCATTTCATACTCAGATCTAAATTGAAATTGCTTATTGAAAATAAAAATAAATACATATTATGCTTAATAGAATATATCTATTTATTTGAGAGAATGACTAATTGTAATTGTCTTAAAAAGTTAATTAAATATTATCATTTTAAATTTCCATTATAGTTAAGTGTATGAATTTAGTTTTCAGAATTTTAATTCTCCATTTTTATTTCAGTCTGGACTTTGTGTTGGAGATATGATTTTAGCAGTCAACAAAACAAAACTTATTGGTGCTGATTATGAACTGGTAAAAATTTTTTATTTTGATTACATTTTTTACAGATTTTGTGATAAGTTATTTATCAAAAATTAATACTCTTGTTATTTTTTTTAGTATACTGTATTGCTTATTGAATATTTATGGGAATCTTGAAAGGCTGTCTTTAAGCTGTCACTTTCTATTATTGTACTGAATATAAGGGCCGAAAAGAGACTGTTTGATGAGTTCTGCGATTTCATATGTAGAACATATTCTTTTCCCTGGTTAAGGCAGTATAAGTTCATGATCAAATCATGGTATTAGTAAGATATTCATTACTTCTAGATTTTTATATAGAACTGGTACATATATTAATTATAATTGGATGCATCTGAAGTAGACCAGTATATTAATATCCTTTTATTTTAGGCTAGAAATCTAATATAATGCTACAGACCTGAATGACTGCAACCTGCTTTTAAGACATTGATGTAACTGGAAAATAAAAGTCCAGTTACAAGACAGTCTTTTTCTTCTTGTCAGAATTGTGAAGTAGAAATTGCATCCTCTATAGATCCTGTATCTCAGCCCTATGGTCTAGACCAGGGATAGCTGACTATTTTATACCTACTGCCCATTTTATAGGTAGTAAATTTTCCCTCCCGCCCAGCAGTTCTGTAGTAATTTAATTTAGCACAACTGCAAAGTAATTTTTTAAATGGAGGTTTGATAAAAAGTATACAGTTAAATTTATCCATTTAGAGATACTTTGTATATATTTACAATAAGACAGAAAATTTATTAAAAAATAATTTGAAAAAAAAAAAAAACTGCTTAAATTAAAAGACATGAAAATTCAGTATAAAATTTTAATTAATTATTAATGAGATACTTGGAGCTTCAAAACTAAATATTTGATGTCTGGTTCAGTTTTCATGAGGAAGATACGAAGATCTCTTTGGAAACATTCAGACAGTTTCTCTGTTTGATCATAACATGATTAACAGTACTAAAGCCTGTTTCTATAAGATACAAGGTGGAAAATGGTATGAATAAATTAAGTATAATTTCCCACATACTTGGATATAACACAGACTTTTTTGTTTACCCGTAAGTTTTCATGTCCATCACTAGCAAAATTATATTTACTCTCTTCATTATATTTGAATTCTAATAGTTCTTCTTGGCAAGTAATAACAACTTCAGCATTATGTACAGTAAATGACTCAAATTAAAAAAATCTTTAAATAATTTTTCCATATTTGATTTTAGTTCAATAAGGTGACCTCTGAACCTTTCAGTTTTCTCTGGAGTTACACAGTCTTTTATAGACAGCATTTAAAAAAACTGAGAAAATTCTTCAGTAGATTATCATAAAGAAAATTAAGTTTATTAATAAATAATGACATAATATCTTTGAAACTGGTATGAGTTCTGTTAGCTCCTTGAAGCTTCAAATCAATTTCATTAAATCTAAAAAATGTCTGCCAAATAAAATTCATCATTCTTTCTTGTTAATCTTTGATAATAACTGGTCTCTTTAGTCCTTTCAAAAATATGTGTTATATTATCATATAATGCTAGAAAAGGAAACAAACAGGTACCCATTGGTAGCCATTGGACTTCTGCATATAAAAGTAACCTAACAAAATTCCTATTATTGTCCTAACATTACTGTCGAAATATTCTGTTATGTTTGGGATTGGATATGATTTTGTTTACAGCTTTAGTTATTATACTAAATGATGTATGGAGACATAAATGCTTTGCTACAGTTGGTATGTATGCTTCATACAATGAATTACACAAAACATGTGGCAATTCTTTCTTCAGACAAGCAATAAATTTATGCAGTCGTTGTAGCTGTGGGTGAAGGCTTACAGGTGAAGATAACAAAACATGAACTTGACGAGTTTCCAGTTTTTATTTCCACGCATATAAAATCATCTCAGTAGATATTTTTCCAATCATAATGAAATCCAAGACATTTCTAGGATTCACTCATAATGAATTATGACAAATTGCATATACATTTATTTTAATTAAACGCAGGCTTAGACGGGGAAGCAAAGCAGGAGATAGAGGCACGTCCGAAAGTAGTTCGTTTCATTATCCCCGCGATTGCAGTTCCGCATGCGCAGTAGACGCCTGTAAAGGAAGAAAACGGGCCATTGGAAATATCTGTCAGTACAACGCTTTGTGGCTTGTTACAAGGGTGTTGATTGAAATCCCGCGTTGTGAAATCAGATCTGTGATTCGTTTCGAATGGGAAAGTGAAACCTAGTGAAATTTATCGGCAAATTTGCGATGTTTACGGACCAAAAGCGATGAGTGATTCAGTGGTGAGAAGATGGGTTTGAAAGTTCAATGATGTGCACGATGAAGAACGAAGTGGGCGTCCATCTTTGGTTACAGAAGAACTGGTTCACGCGATTGATGACAAGATCCAGGAAAACTGAAGGTTTACAATTAGTGCTCTCGCTATGGAATTTCTCCAAATTTCACGATCACTAATGCATGAAATTGTTACCAAAAAACTGAAATTTTGTAAACTTTGCTTACGTTGGGTACTAAAGATTCTTACTGAGCAACACAAAACAAAACGTATGGGTAGTGCACTTCAGTGTTTGACCCGTTATGCTGAAAGCGGCGAAGAATTTCTGACACAGATAGTCACAGGAGATGAAACTTGGGTTTCTTACGACACCCCTGAAAGTAAGCGGCCAATCAATGGAATGGAGGCACACTTCATCCCCAGCAAAGGTTAAGCCGAAGCAAATCTTGACACCTCGAAAAATGATGTGCACAGTGTTCTGAGACTGGAAAGGCATTTTATTCATTGATTTCATACTGCGTGGTCAAACAATCAAAGCAGATGCTTATTGCGAGACACTTCGGAAATTGCGCCGCGCAATACAGAATAAGCGCCGAGGATTGCTGTCAAAAGGTGTTGTTTTTCTTCACGACAACACATGACCACACACTGCAAATGTGACAAAAAACCTCCTACAGGGATTTGGCTGGGACGTGTTTGACCATCCTCCGTACAGCCCTGACCTCGCTCCTAGCGACTTTCATCTGTTCTTACATCTTAAGTCTTTCCTTGGCGGTCAACACTTCAACAATGACGACGAGCTGAAAGAAACTGTTTCCAACTGGTTGAAGACACAGGCGGCAAATTTCTATGAAGAAGGTATACAAAAACTTGTGCCACGCTATGACAAATGCTTGCAATATTTTGGCAGTTATGTGGAAAAGTAGTTTAAGAGTTGTTGAATTTTGTGCAATAAATAACTTTTCTGTAGCTGTACACAATTTACTTTTATTACCAAACGGAACTTACTTTCTGGACGTACATTGTATTAGCAAGGTAGAAGCAGAAGAAGTGACATAATTAGCTGCTAGGGGTATTTGTACCAAGTTTGATTGCCTGATTGCTACTGCATCTCTCATCAAGATCAATAATTGCTGTATACCTTGCCAATGTATAATTGCTTATTTTTAATTTTATTTATTTATTTTTTTTTTCGCTTTTCATGCTGAATTGTCAGTCTGTATAGTTACCCCCAAGCTTTTGCTTTAGGTGACTGACAGGGGCCTTACAGACCTTCACCTGCTCATCTGTCTGCAGAGAGGCACCATCAAGTACAGGCTCCTTTCCAGGGGGCAGGTTGCATTTTCGATTTGGTTGCTGGATTATATTAGATTCCATTGAGGCTAACTGACTATGAATAGTGATAACCAGCTGTTTTTGCTGCTTGTAGCTGATAAAGTTAATTCAATAAATGAGCTGATCAAGGACAACTTGGCTACAGATTTACACCTGCAGCTTAAAGATAGGTTAGTGGAGTACATAAATAAATGTAATGGAAACATTGATGAGTTAATCACACAATGTAACTTAATAGTTGTTACTAAAACTAGCTCTGATATTGACACAATGGAAAGGCAAAGAGCCAGGACCACACTTCACATAGATACTGCTCATGAGCATAAAAATAGTAAAACAAATATTCCGCTATCAAATAATTTTGCTGCCCTGAGTGAAATTCCTGACAATAGTTCAGAGAATAATAACATATAAGTGAATAACCATATTTGAGCAAAGTTAGCTCAAGTGAAAATTCATGATGTTATCCCTGTTCCAATCAATCGGGAACCTACAGAGGAAGATCTTAGTGAAAACTCGACCAAAGGCAAATGAAATACTAACAAGGACACAAATTCAAACCCACCCACACAAAATCAAAGCTCTGATGATAATTTAGAAAAGGATTTTGTGAAAAAATCATGAATTCCTCCTATAATTGTTAAGGCAAATAATGTTACACGGGATAAACATAATAACATTGAATTTAAAAGCAACAGCAGCCCTGAAGGTATTAAAGTATTTGCATAGGATGCTGAAAACTACAGACGTGTAGTACGCATACTTAAAGATGTTGAGCATCATTCCTTCACATTTCCAGAAAATAAAGATATCAAAGCTGTAAGTAGAGGACTGTTAAGGGACACTGATGTAACATAAATTCAGGAGGAACTCGCTGATAAAAATTATACGATTACCTCTTTTAGTTAACACACAGATGTAATGGAGACATAATTAAGCTCCCAATATTTTTAATCACTATGCCTAAAATTCCCAAATCAAAGGAAATGCACAATAAAACTCACTTAAGTGATCTTGGTATCAAAAGTCGAGGATTGTAAAGGATGCTCTGGCACCTTATAATGTTATGGGTACAAGGGATTTCATCACACACAAACAGGGTGTAATTATGCACCTAAGTTCATCTGATGTGGGGAAGCGCATTTCTCTTTTGAATGGCCGAATAAAAATACTGATCTACCTCCCCGATGTGCCAACTGTAACAAAGCACACACATCCAATTTCAGGGAATGTGTAAAATTTCCCTAAAAGAACAAGGAGGAAATAAAGTTATATTCTAGCCGTGGCGTAGAAAATCGATCATATGCCTGGCCACTTCCTATTGGTTTATATACTGACACTATTAATGAAGCCAAAACTGTTTTTGTGAACCTGGCTGACCTTGTAGTGGTCATTAAGAGCTTATTTATCTCACAACAAATAGGATAACATTTGCCTATCAATGAGGACAACATATGCCTCAAACCAAACTTTAATGGATAAATACACTGCACACGGGGACCCTAGAAACTTAAAATATCTTCGAATCATAAGTTTGCTTCCGGATCTGGGAAAAATGTATGAAAGAATAATTCTTAACTAGACTAAAGCCATATCTGGAGCTATTACTGCATGTGCAATTAGTGTTCCACAAAAAGTTATCAACTAAAAAGCAACTTTTACAACTGGTTGAATTCTGTGGTGAAGTGCTTCATAAAAAGCAGAATATTGCCTTATTCATGCTAGATGTGGCAAAAATGTTCAACTGCATCTGGCATGAGAAGCTAATTTAAAAATTGATTAATCTTCACATGGAGCGTGAATTAATTCATCTCACCATGTCCTTCATTTCAAACAGAAAATTTACATTCTCAGTAGGACAAGACACTTTCTAGTATTTGTGACATTAACGTTGGGGTCCCTCAGGGATCAATTTTGGAACAGGTTTTGTACTTATTTTCTGTCTCGAAATTCCCTCACACTCAGCTCAACAGAAATCTCTTCCTTGGATGCTATGCGGATGATACAAGGCTTGCAGTAAAGTCCACAAACGCAAACTATGCGATCAAGAAATTGCGTAATCTTATGCCGAACATTGAAAGTTGGTGCACTAGATTTTACATTTCCATTAATGCAAGTAAATCACAATTGATTATTATTAGAAGAAAGCATGCACATACTCTGGGTAGAAAAAAAATTATTATTATTTAATGATGAAGTCCCACAAGTGCACAAGGCCAAGTACTTTGGGGCTGGTTTTGAATGAAAGACTGATATGGACTGATCATGTTACAAACGTAAAAAGGAAAGTCTTCGGAGTTGTCAATAGCCTTATATCACTGCTAGGAAAGTACTCTAACTTAGATTTGAAGAAGAAAAGGCTATTATATATGACAGCAATTAGACCCTTAATCACCTATGCCTCACCTGTCTCAGAAAAAGATATTGTTATGTTTTGCTTCTTATGTACTTACGGGTTTGTGGATTTGAAGTGAATAAAGACAACACTTCATGAAGTATCATAACACAATTTATTAGCCAGTATTATTCAAGGCAGCTCCAAAGTCACATTTACAGTTGTCAAAGAACTACTATTAACACGCTGAGACAATCAGCGACACAGACTTCAGATTATCAGGCTATAACTGTAGAGACAGCTTTACGGCAAAGCACCAGAGTACAGCTTCCGATTCTGCTCAGTTGTTCTCGAAATTCTATGTACTCTCAGGACTCTCCGTGCTACAACCCGCGATGCACTTGATGATACACTAGAGTACAGCTCCTGACTTGGTTCGGAGCTCAATACACTGTAAGATAAAACATGATGATGCATTAATTTGCAATACACTAAGAGACTCTGTCAATGCACTCGATGACCAGCTTGGCACTAGACTTCGAGACACTCGCTCACTGACTGTTAACTGACTCGACTAAGCACTGACCAACTTGCTATCGACTCACTAGATGAAACAATGACTGACTATCAACTCGATGGACTCCACATACCAGTAGGGTTTATATATCCTTCGGCTAGCATTTGAGAGCATTCTGGGCCAAACTGGTAAGAATTCATTCCAGAAGGTTCTCCATCTGTCTATGGCATATCACTAATCCTGTTTCCAAATTTACGATTTCTTGCCAAATGTGGCAACCCTGCCTTCCCTTGCTGCTTTCTGGCAACCTTAAAAATGCTTTGTGGGGAAGCTATCTTACCATGCCTGGACATTTTGTAACAAAAATATTAAGCTCCAAATTGTGCAAATAAAATTTTAAGAATTATTACCAGTGCACACTACTATGTTAGTAATGTGACTCTACACAAAGACCTCAAGCTAAAATTAACCTTCCAGCACACACGCTTAGCAAATTTACATGAGCATGCACGCGTCGTATTTTTTACAACATCCGTTATTTTACCTTTCTTTGGCATGAAAAACGACAGAAATGAGTGAATATTGATAATAAATTAAGAAATAAAATATTAATCTTATTATTGCAAAATACAAATGATATCACATTCAAATATAAGTAAATTATTTTTAAGTTCTCATGTTAGTGAGATGAAAATGCAATGATGTATTTCATTATAGAACATTTTAAATTTGTTATTTAATAATTATATTTTAAAATCGAAGCTAAATTTAATATTCATCAAAGGCAAGTATAGACAAATAGAAAAGGAAAACACCTTGGTAGGAAAAAAAGTAAGTTTAGCATTACTTACTTCTAGAAGGAAATTTACTTCTTACTGGTTACAAAAACGCACTTTAAACTAACTTTAATATCTTATTATTTATAAAAAATAGAAATAAAGAAAATAAGGAATGGAAATCGCTATTGTTCTCCCATCCAAAGGTCTTCCTTTTTTTCATCAGACGAATGCGAGCAAAATCAGCTGGTTGCACATATTTTTTTGCCATGAAGACTGATATAAAATTTACAGAGCCAAATGTATTCAAATTAAAATAATACATTGCAATTAATAACACAAAATTGCAAAATATTTGAGGGAAAAAATATTTTCCGAATTTTCACCCACGAACTCGCACATGTCATAAATTTTACGAAAAAGATGCCAATTAGCACAAATGCCCAGTTAAAAAAAAAGGTCAAATGACTTCCTCTTGGCGCATTCCATGATGTGGGGAAGGGTAGAAAGGAGGAATAGAAATGACATTCAGACATCTCAACTTCGATATGCGAAAAATGTGCATTAAAAACTGAATTTGTCGTAAATTTTGTGCATACGCGCATGTTAGAAGGTTAATTGATGAATATCTAAGAAAACTAAATAAGAATTTCTTCGATAAGATGACAATTTGTTAACATATGAGCGAGTTGCATATTTTCTCTTATAAAGTTTTAGAGGAGGATCATGACCTGAGACCATTTGCAGCCTACCTCACTAGGGACTCAAACTTTCTCACTTAATATGGCAATTACTTGCATATACTCATTAGTATTTTTCACTTTGTTTTTATTGTATTTGTAATTAGTATTTTATGTATCTCATTTTCATTCTTATTTTATTTGTATCTTATGTTTTGCTACATCCTCATGAATTCCCACTCTCGCCTTTGCCACACGCAGGGTTTCCACTCTCAGTTCTTAAGTGTTTCGCTGCTTGCGATGCTGGTTATCCTCATCCTCGACTTCTCGCTTCCTCTGTGTATTTTATCTGTTAAGATAGTTTTATCTGATTGAGCCCTTTGGCATTTATGTTTATTGAGCCGCATAAACTGTATTTTCTATGTAGTATTCCCGCAAAATAATTATCAGTCATTGACGCCTTAAGTATGTGCTTAATTTTTTAAATGTTTAATCCAGCACTGTTTCAATTTATTGTTTGTTATTAGAAATTTAAAAATTAGTTTAATTTGGGAAATTGTCATCAAAATTGTGGGAGGTAATTATGATTATAGTTTCTTATATGCAATTTTTAAAGTCTGAAGTAGTTATTAAAATTAAAAAAAAAAATGTTTTCTAGAATAATTCTGCAGTTAGTATCTAAGAGTGAGCACTTTTTTTTCAGTTGCATTTTTTTTTTTTTTTTTTTTTGTATATTCTTAAATAGTTCTCAGATTGTGATGTGCATTTATATTGAAATTTTTCAGGTTACAAAGAAATGAAGAAAATATATATGCTGCAATATTAATTAATGAGATAGCTTTATTATAATATTTGCTGTGCTTTACTGATGCTTATAGTGAAAATATTTTAAACATCAAATGCACTTATAGTTAAAAAAAAGCTTTTGAACTGAATAAACTGTAATGTAAAAGATATTTTATACCTGTGAATTTTTATACCTGATATTCAGTATTTTACTGTAGTTAGGAGTATAACTAATCTTGATCAAATTTACTTATTTACTTTAGAATAACAATTTAGGAAACAAAGCAAAATGAATTGTCAGAAGCTTGTTATATTATACCTTTCTATGTATCTGCTTGCAATTATAAAATAGTATAAAATTATTTATGCTGTTATATTTAAAAGATGTCTACCAGTAATTTGATTTCATTGTTTTTATTTTCTCTATTTTTTTGAAATAGGAAAGGCATGTTTTCATTTTCTAAGAAGAATAAAGATACAAAAACTTTTTTTTATAGGCAGCTTCAGTGTTAAAAAATGAAGATGGCCCAATAACATTTTTAGTCGTGAATTCACACAAACCAGCTGCAAGTCCTATGCACAATGATATAAACCATGACAAAAGGCCTCGAAACAGTTTAGGACCATTCCCGGAAAGCGATTTTAGCAAAAGTATGTATAAAACTTTTTTTTGAATGCATAAAAAATAAAAACATCACAAGCAGAATAATATCTAGTTTTGATGCATGCAAGTAGGTATTATTTTACTTGTAGTGTAATCTTTTGTGTTTATTACCATTTGAAGAGCTGAAATTGAATAAATTTGGAAAATTACATATTTTGAAGCAGGCATGGCATATGACTGGTCTTATTGTTAGTTGTTAAGGTTATAACTTATGCTTTCGAGTAAAAATTTTATTAAAATTTTTTTCTTGCCAAATTTCTTTTAAAACATAGTATATTTGTTTTATTTTTTTAAGTAGAACTTTTTTTATACTATAATGACACCTGCTTTGAAATATAGGGTGCTACTTTGTTAGACGGTTGCACAGATTTTTGGCGACCTTACATTAGAGTGATTGTTTGCGTGGTTTTTACAATCGTCAGCCATCTTGAAAAACTCTGTTTTTTACGTATTTTACGCATAGTAAAGTATTAGAAACTTTAAAAAAATAAATATAGTTAAAAATAATGGATTAATTTTTTGTTGAAAACATTGTTTTTTTTAAGATGCCTGGTAAATGTAAATAAATACATTTACTAAGAGTATAAAATACTAAAGTAAGTTAAATTATTACTTTCATGTAGCAAGGAAATGGAATAAAAACACTGCTATAAAAACATTGTGCCAACATTTAATCGGATTAAAATATTACTTAAATTGAATATTGAATTAAAAACATCATACTAATGTTTAAAAAAATAAAAATATTACTTAAATTCAAATACTTTAAAATAAGTTTATAGGATATAATTTTTTAACATTAAAACATATGTGGCAATAAATATTCGACAAAAAAAATCGGAATCATAATTTAGATATCAATGAAAAAAATTTGTCGGTAAAAAAGGAGGAATGTTTAATACATTTTTTACCCTTACAGCTGTTATTTCTTCCACCGTTACCACAATGCAATATACGGCCGTCCTCAGAATCGGCTCTTTTAATGATCTTTATCTGTGATCCACATCTCTCGCACTTCATTGAAGAAGCAATTAGAAAGGTTTCCTTTAAAATTTTTAAATAAATTTCCTCTGACCCTTGTAACAATTTATAAATAAATCTTTGATTAGGAAAGCCAGATTGGCCAAAATAAGGTCTCAAAGGACAATGTTTTGATTCCGATTATTACCAATAACAACATTCATTTTCGAAACGGACATATCCATTCGCTTTGAAATCTAAGGAATTCGAAAAGATGAATAATAAAATTTTGAAATAGTGTGGTAATGCACAAATATTCAGTAACCAATCAGGGAGCTGATTACATCACACATACAATTAAAATTATTTAAATGATCATTCATAATAAAATCATTTTTTAAAAAAAATCCAAAATTGTATTTTAATATTTAACAGCCATAAATAATGTTTAAAACAAAAGATTAAATTTATAGATATTAAAACCAATTACTTTTAAAGTAAGGTGACATCATTGATTACATCATCCACAACATAAAATTATGTAAAATATCATAAACAATAAAATTTTTATTTCAAATAAAAATGCAAAATTAAATTGATTTTCAATATTTAGAATAAATAATATTTAAAACGTGGAATTTATGAATAAAATGCATTATTTTTTAAATAAAATGACAACAAAGTATCGGTTACCATAAATAACTTGTCCAGGTTTACCGGCAAGTCGTATCGCTTGCGAGAAAAAAAATGGCCCAAATCCGTGCAATCGTCTACCAAAGTTGCACCAAATATAGTTTGAACAACAAATTCTATTTAATTTTTTTATCATCAAAAAATTGTTCTAATATTTAAAAAAAATGGAATGAATAAAGAAATAAATTTTAAGTTTTAAAGAAAATTTAAAAAAAAAAGTCAAATAGGATATTATTTATAACACATTTATTAATTTCCATTTATGGAAAGTAAATCATTAATTCTCATGTTTTATATTGTATTTGCATAGCATAACTTGTTTTTATGTTTTATGGTTTTCACAAGAAAATTAAGTGTTATGTATATAGGAAGTAAATAATTATTGTTTGTTACTATTTGTAGTTATTTAAAATGTGTTGTTGCTCAGTATTTTAATGGATATTCTATTTTTGATGTGTATCATTTTCACTAAATGAAGAATAGTAAGTGATTTGTGCTTTATAGGTTCTACACCGTCGCCTCTGTGTCCATCACCTTCTTCCAACAGTGTTTCTCCAAATCTGCCATTGCCAGCATGTCCTATTCCACCACCTGCAGAGTTTTCAGATTCATCTGTCATACTAGATGCTGTTGGGACTGAGATGGTTGTTGATATTCACAGAGAAAAATCAGGTTTAGGGCTTGGCATAGTTGGTGGATCTGATACTCCAATAGTAAGCAGTTTATATATATTTCCAAATTTAAAAAAAAGACACTCAAACTTCTCTGGAGATTAAGGGGATTCATCAGCATGCTCATAATCAAAGTGACATTTCTTTTTCCTTTGTCGGACTTCTTCAAAAGTTTTAAATTGTGGCTCGCCACCCACTTCTTCACTCAGTTTTTTGGCTTTCTCAAGAATACAGTCAAAAGTCGTGAATCTGGACTCATCGGGACTTCGGCGATTCCGGATTATTGATTTTTCCGGATTATAGATCATCAGTTTAAATCTGCCAAAATGGCATGCAGAAATTATAAAATTAAAAATATGAAACCTTAATTTATGAAATAATGAACATATTTATGATCTAAAGGGTATCAAAATTACAAAAAAAAAAAAAAAAAAAAAAAGCTTAATATTTATTTGTTTATTTTATTTAAACATTTCTTTCAATGTAAGTTGTTTAAGTTGCTTCGTTTTTTATGTGATAATACATTTCTCTTTTAATTCCATAAACAGACATAATTTCTTGTTTCAGTTACAAAGTTCCGCTGTTCAAGTCCTATGGAATTGCTGTGTTGGAGAATTCCGACTAATTTGTCAATCGAAATTTTTTCGTTTTCAATAACTTTTCTGTCACTTTCTTCGCTAAACGGAAGCGAATTATAATTTTAGGAGGCATTTGATTTAAATCCATACTACAAATTTTGCGATTCATGAAATTCACTTGATGATTGAGTAAGCAATTATAAGCCAAATAAAATAAAAACATCTGCCCTTAAGATAAGGATAGTGCTGACAGATCAACTTCCAACTCATTGCACACTGCGAAGATAAACAAAGTTTAGATAAACAAACGTTAAAGTTTAGATAAACAAAGGATATGCCTTTATCCATTTTTTGCAGCAATTCCACTTTTTGTTTAATGGACTCCGAAAGATACTTTCACTTTGTATATCCTTTACATATTAGTAAATATATATCGGAAATTCTATTTGACATAATCGAAAGTTCAAGCTTACTTTTATAAAATTGCTCTAACAGTCTGCAAAAAATAATAATCCAGATCCAATTCGAAGATTAAGGAACAACGCAATCTGCAACATTAACTGAAATAGATAATTAGATAATTTTAGCTTAGCTTATCCCGTCTGTCATACATTAAACACGCATACATAAACTTATTTTGCGCATGCGCACACGCAAATTCGCAGCGGTAAAGGTCTAACGCATGCGCAGAAAGTTTGTAGCTTTGAGGTCCGGATTATAGATCATTTTGGATTATGGGTGTCCGAATTAACGACTTTTGACTGTACTTCACTTCTATATTCTTCAATGAATATTTTTAAGTTACTTATTGCCTTTAAGGCTAGTGTGATACTTAAACCACTTTCTTGCCATTGTTTGGTGATAGGATTAATTCTCTTAAGCAAATCGTGTCAAAGTATCAAGGAACAAATAAATTTATAATTCTTGATTTTCAAACAGACGTCGTGCTTCATGATGCAGTTCTTTTGAAAAGCATACACTTTTGGATATTTCAAAAAGAGCATTATAGATTTCTCCTAGTTGATATCATAAAGCTCGAATGGCTTCAATTTTGCTTTCTTATCGAGTGTTTGAGAGGGGTGTAAATATGCATATACATTCTTTGTTGCTAAAACTCAATAATAAATTATAAAGAAATTTCTCTTACCTGTCAGACGCATTCTCGCCTTTTGTAATTTTTTCTAGATTTTATTTGACGACACAATAAATGGAAGTGCATATAAACTTTAGTTAGTGTTTCACGTTCGTGTTACATCTTTGTCAGTCATCAAGGTTCTGAACGAGTCCAAGGAATTCAAGCGCACACAGTGCCATCTGGTGCAATACAGTTTCTACAGACTGCCCCTCGAATGACCAAGGGTTCATTGAAACATTTACATTAATACAAATTTAGCAAAAGAAACTCTTACAATGTAAAGTTCAATCAATTCACATATTAAAGAAACTACACTTATTTACTATATAAACAAATCATTCATCTTTAAACAACTTGTAAAGTTACCTGCAATAAAGTATAATAAAGATAATAAGCTGGCAACTTAACACCAGTACATAAATTAAAACTTTCATCACGTATCTGGAATAGTCCTATAATAATACAGATTAATAAACATATAATAAACAATTAAATTTATTCATTTATTTCAAGATTATATAAAAGATGCACAGGTCTTTTAATAACTGATGTACCTGTTTTAATTTCACAAGACCTTACTTTTCCATCTCTGCCAGGAAATACTGTTACAACTGTTCCTAATTTCCAAAAGTGTCTAGGTAACATTTCATCATGAATTAATACAATATCATTAACTTTAAATTCAGTAATTTTACCTGAAGGTTTAACACAATGAAAAGATCTCAGCATTAATAGGTATTCATTTTTCCATTTATTCCAAAACATCTGTACCAATCTTTCTCGATAATTAAATCTTTTAATTAGCATTTTCCTATTAACTAAATTAGAATCAAAATGAAACCTGGCAGGAGGCAAACTATTCACCCTGCACCCCAATAGCATATGAGCTGGAGTTAGAGGCATAGGTTCCTGTGATTCAGAATAAACATAAGTTAAAGGATGAGAGTTAAGAACACCTTCAATTTCAATAATTAGAGTTTCTAACTCGTCTCGAGATAAAGTAGTTTTTCTTGGAGTTTTCTGTAAAGCAAGTTTTACAGATTTAATTAGTCTTTCATAGAAGCCACCCCACCACGCAGCTTTCTCAGCGATGTAGCACCATTGAATTTTGTGGGAGGCATAAAAGTCTTTTACTGTTGGATGACTAATGACAGTACACAAATTTTTAAGTTCAAGCTCTGATCGTTTGAAAGTTTTGGCATTGTCCGTCAAAATCTGAGAACATAGACCTCGACAAGCAATGAATCATCGAAAAGCAAGAAGAAATGTTTCTGTGCTCATGCTGCCAACAAACTCTAAATGAAGAGCTCGCGTTACTCCACAAGTAAACAACATGGTGTAGTTTTTCTCATCACTGTCTTTGGTGTAAAGTGGTCCACTGAAATCTATACCTACTACAGAAAAAGGAGGTAATTCTTCTGTTCTATTTACTGGTAAAGGAGCAGTAACTTGCACACCAGGAGAAGAATTAAATCGTTTACACCGAATACATTTAAGATATTTTTAACAGTTTGTCTTCCTTTAATTATCCAGTATCTTTCACGTATTTCTATCAAAGTTTCAAAAATTCCACAGTGAATTACTTTGTTGTGTGCATCCCACACTAATAAATTCACAAAGTGATGTTTTGAGGGCATAATAATTGGGTGTCTTTGAAGGTAAGAAAGTCTTGACGTCTGAAGTCTTCCACCAACATACATTATCCCGTTATTATTAAGAAAGGGATTCAGTTCTAGAATAGAGGAAGTCTTAGAAATTGTTTTACCGTGTCTCAAAGAGGACAGCTCTTCTGCAAAAGCTTCACTTTGAACAGTTTTTGGTCCAGATAATTTCAGCCTCATTAAGTTCTTCTGTGCTTAGTTCACCACATCGTTTAGTTTTAAATTTAAGGTTCTATAAATATCGTAGTATCCAACTTGTAACACGGTATAATTTTCTTAAACTACTATATCTATTCAAATCCATTAAATGTGTCAAATTCAATTGAGCTTTGCACACAAAAGACGTTACTTCTTCCAGTTTATTTCTTTTTTCACAATATACTTCTGGAGAAATCTCTGGACAAATTTCATAATTAGAGCCTTTTGGCCAATCCCTTTTCTTCAACCGAAGCCATTCTGGACCTTGCATCCAAATCGAACTGGACATAAACTTTCCACACGGTAGGCTCCAAGAGATATGAAATCTGCAGGATTATCCTGCCCACTACAGTGATTCCAATCAGCAGGATCAGTTCCAGACTGGATTTCGAATACACGGTTCGATACAAAAGGTTTCCATTTTGAAGCTTTTCCCTTTAATCCAATGAAGAGCGAATTAAGGAATCTGTCCACATATATACCCTAGGACACAAAGGAAATTTAAAATTTGTTTTTCGAAATATTGGAAAAGTCTAGAAGCAATAACAGCTCCCATAAGGTTCAAGCCTTCAGTAATGTCAACCTTTTAAGCGATGCGATTCTAGATTTCCGCAGTGATAAAACTTGTATAAATACAATCATCACTTGACACGTAACGGAAGTACGCAACTGCTTCCGAAAGCTTTCGGAGAAGCGTCAGAAAATATGTGTAGTTCTAATTCTTTCACCATCTTCCATGGTATGGAGAAGTATTTTCTCAAATCTTTCAACAGATACAATCTGAGAGCACCAATTATCCCATTTTTTCTTCAAGTCAGTTGATAGCTCATCATCCCATCCTAAACCAAGTTCCCATATTTCTTGCATTAATAATTTTATGAAGAACAATAAAAGGTGATGCAATTCCCATAGGATCAAATAACTTCGAAGCTGTCTGAAGTACACTACGTTTTGAATTCTTCCTATCACAGATCATGTCCAGTAGAGGTTTTGCATCTTAACTTTAAAAGCATCTTCTTCGGTGTTGCCATATTATGCCTAAAACCTTCAAAGGACGTTCCTTTAGTTTCTGTCACATCAGAACAAACCTCGTTCACTCCATAAATTTCTCAACTCATCCGAATTAGTATTAAATTTTCTTAAATTCATGTTCGCATCTTTAAGAATTTTTACAGCGCTCTGTGAAAGTTCTAAAGTTTTCTCTAGTTGTATTTGCTCCGTAAAAAAGATCATCTACATAAAGTGCCGAGTCAAGCATTTCACAAGTTTCGCTTTGTTCAAGTTTATATTTTCTAATGTGGTATTAATAGTTGCAGCAAGGATAAATGGGCTTGATGTCACTTCCAAAGCGCAAGCGAGTCATTCGTGAAAATTTTGTAAGTTTTTGAATCACTTTCATCTGTAAACCAGAAAAAAAAAGTAAATAGTATATATCCTCTTCCGCTATTTCTATGGTCAAAAATGCTCCCT